TTGTCAGGCGCTCCCTGAGAAGCTACCGTGTGGACTAAGCACTCCATTCAGCCTCCGCGGAGTTGAGTCCTCACGCCGCGCCATCTGCCACCAGATAATCCCGCTGGAATGTGCCGAGCTGACGGAGGACATCTTCGGCCTCAGCTAGCGTTTTCCATCGCCGTTCTGCCCAGGGGGTTATGAGGCCTCGCGTAGGGTTGGCAGCTCTCCAAGCCACCACAATTCATAAAAATGCAAAATCCACTCCGACCAGGTGCACATGGACTGCGGTGCGAAGCCTCCTGCGGGCCACTCCCAGCTTCTGCACTAATTGTGCAGAATCCACTTTTCCATCCCGTCCTGGGGCAGCCAAGTGATTCATTTCAGCCCCTGTCAGGTGGAGCTTGCTATGCTCTGTTGGATACGTTCTCTGTAGCCAGGCAGCTGCTTTTTCATTTGGTTCCTGGGCTAGGTTCTTAAGGACAGGCAGGGCCTCTGGGTGATACAGAGGGTGTCTCCTCCTCCAGATAAAACATGGCCTCTCTTAATACAAAAAATTAGCTGGGCGTGGTGGTGGGCACCTGTAATCCCAGCTACTAGGGAGGCTGAGGCAGGGGAATCGCTGGAACCTGGGAGGCAGAGGTTGCAGTGAGCTGAGATCGCACCGTTGCACTCCAGCCTAGGCATCAAGAGTGAAACTTCATCTCAAAAGAAAACAAAAAAGAAAAAAGAAATGGCCTCCCCTTGACCCTCCCCTGTTACGTCTTCTGTCTTTTTGACTTTGCAGGTGGTCACTGGCAAAGGAAACGAATAATTTCCTCTCTCTCATGGTGGTATTGTGCTGCCTCATCCACTAGAGGGCGCAAGTCCTCTTTCCAGGGTCGTCTTCTGGTCGTCCGTGGAGGTTGGACTCCCCACTCCTGTGTGTGAAGCGTCCTGGTGAGAAGGAGCTGTGAGCAAGCCCAACATGGGTCCCCTGGCTGGGATTCAATAGGACAGCCACCTCCTTTGGAGAGCCTGGAGGTTCTGGGACATAAACTTTTTTGCCTTTGGTCACTTTAAGCAATGCTTTATCTGACTCAGCCCAAGGGTTGGGATATCGATATTTCTCTGCGAAGGGGCTACAGAGATGACATCCACAAAAGAATAACTGAATGTCGGGCCAGGCGCGGTGGCTCACGCTTGTAATACCAGCACTTTGGGAGGCCAAGTCAGGCACATCCCCTGTCCTATTGAATCCCAGCCAGGGGACACATGTTGGGCTTGCTCACAACTGCTTCTCACCAGGACGCTTCACACACACTGAGGTCGGAAGTTCGAGACCAGTCTGACCAACATGGCGAAACCCCGTCTTTACTAAATAAATAAATAAACTTAGCCACGTGTGGTGGCAGGCGCCTATAATCCCAGCTACTCAGGAGGCTGAGTCAGGAGAATCGCTTGAACCCAGGAGACGGAGGTTGCGGTGAGCTGAGATCACACCACTGCACTCCAGCCTGGGCAACAAGAGCAAAACTCTGCCTCAAAGAAAAAAAAATGACAACAGCTGTGGCATGCTAACTGCTTGTAAAGGCATCTCCCCCAGCTGTGCATGTGGCAGTGGCCTCAGTCTAGGGTCTCTGCCTGATCAGCTCATGTACCTGCTGTAGTGGTCCCCAACAATAGGGATGTCCTCTTGTCTCAGAGTACCCCAAATCACTGGCCTGGCCACAGGGAACTCCTCCCACTCTAGCCCATCATGGGGTGAGGGTAGGCCACCTTCAGTTCGGAGATGTGTACTCCTCCCCTTTATGTGTGCGGTCCTATAGTCTGCATAGTGTTTGGTACCTGCCTAGTGGGGCCCCAGGCAGGCAAGCTGACCTCCTTCCCCAGGCAGTACCACACCTCTGACCCCAAAACTCAGCTCTAATGAGATGAATTCACTCAAATACTGGCATGACCAGGGTAATGAAGCACAGGAAGAGACCACAACAAAATAATATAACACAGGCCAGGTGCAGTGGCTCATGCCTGTAATCCCAACATTTTGGGAGGCCAAGGCAGGATTGTTTGAACCAAGGACTTTGAGACCAGCCAGGGCAACATTGTGAGACCCTGTCTCTACTAAAAATAAAAATAAATATCCAGGTGTAATGGTGCACACCTGTAGTCCCAGCTACTCAGGATGCTGAGGCGGAAAGATCACATGAGGCTAGGATTTTGAGGCTGCAGTGAGCTGTGATCATGTTACTGCACTCCAGCCTGGGCAACAAAGCTAGGCCCTGTCTCATAAATATAAAACAAAATAAATAAATGGAGACAGGAGAATAAACACAGTCAGTCCAAGACCAGCCTAGAGAGGCTTAGAGATTATCTCTAAAATTATCACCGCATTCTTGATATAACAGAGCACAGAACAATGCCATGCCAAACTGATATGGAGGCATTCCGGATTTGAGCCCCAACTACTTGAAGCCATCTGGTATCGATTTGCCAAGTGATGATCCCACTGACCAATTCCTTGATCATTGCCAAAAATTCCCTCCTTATCACCCCATGTAGGAAGTTTGAAGATTTCAGGGCTCAGACAAGAAAAGACATGATCATGAGATGTCAGTATTACAAAACAAGCGGTCATTTGGGTGGCACCAGCACACGTTGTACAAGAGGGGAAGTTCCCTACAGCAGGAGACCTCCTGAGACAGTGGCATGGGGCCACTGCCCAAAAAAGGGAAGAGGGCAGTGGAACTCCCAGTGGAGAACAGAATTGGAGGAGGGGTTATGTGTCCAGGTGATGTGGCTCAGACAGCTCTGAGGGGCACCAGCAGCTTGGGGTCTTTTATAGCCTGAGTTTGTTTTATCTATGGCTGGCAGAAGCTAGGTGCAGTTTTGCAGGGTATGCAAAGCAGGCAGGTTCTGAATGGTCAAAATTATTACTTGGTATATATTTAAAGCAATTGATGTGTAAGAATTTGAATTTGGCACCAGCCTGCTGTGAAGAAGTGAACAACAAAGTGCCACTATCCGGGGTCCATCTTTGGCTCATTTATGTCACAATCTTTAATTCTTGCAATGTGAGGTAGAGATCAAGATTATTTTTTCCAAGGCTATTCGGTCACTCCAGCACCAAGAATCTGTTCCCCACTGAATGTTGCTGCAGCCTTTGTTGTAGTTCAGCCAATAATCTATGTGTAGATCTATTTCTAGATTGTTTATTCCGATCCATGTATCTATTTGTCCCAGTACTTGATGTCTTATGTAGGTCTCTACATTCTTTCAATAATATTTTGTAATTTTCTCTACAGTGAGTTTTGTACATATTTTGTTCAATTTTTTCCTGTTTTATTTGTACATTTCTTGATGTTCTAGTAAGTAGCCTTAAGGTTGCATTTTCTTATTGTTGTTCCTGATATGTAGAAATACAATTGTACATATAGTTTTATATGTTGACATTTTTTCCAATGATCTTGATAAATTCACTTATAAATTGTACTAGATCATCTGAAGATACTTTTAGGCTTTTTTTACATTCACAAAATGTCATCTGCATATTATGGCAGTTCTATTTCCTCCTTCCTATCATTTACATTTTTAATTTCTTTTTCTTGATGATTGCATTGTCTAGGACCTCTAATACAATGGTGAGAAGAAATGGGGAGAGTAATAACAGGTATTCATTCCTTGCTCTTAATCTACGGAGAAACGTTCACTCATTCACCATTAACTATGATGTTTGTTTGCTGTAGGTTTTATGTAACTGCTCTTTATCAGATTAGGGGAGTTCTTATCGATTTCTAGTTTGCTAAGTTTTTTAAACATGAATGGAAATGCCTCTCCCAGTCCTTCATTCTGGTGAGTTTATCTGGTGGCAGATGGCGCAGCGTGAGGACTCCCTCATGAATGGCTTGGTGCCATCTTTGTGGTAATGATTGAGGTCTCACTCTATGAGTTCATGTGAGATCTGGCTGTTTAGAAGAGCCTGGCATACAGAGTGATAGACTTAGGAGACTCAGAAAGGGGAGGAGTAGGGACCAAGAATAAAAGAAAACCACACATTAGGTGCAACATTTGCTACTTGGGTGATGGGTTGCACTAAAATCTCAGAATTCACCACTATAAAATTCATCCATGTAACAAAAAACACTTGTACTCCACAGGCTATTGACATAAAAAAAATTAAAGAGCCTGGCACTGCTCCCCTCCCTCTCTCTTGCTCCCTTTCTCAGCATGTGACATGCTGGCTCCCCTTTACCTTCCATTATGATTGTAAGCTTCCCCAGGCCCTCACCAGAAGCAGATACTATCACTCTGCTTCATGTACAGCCTGCAGAACCATGAGCCAAATAAACTTTTCTTTATAAATGACTTGAGTCTCAGGTATTCCTTTATAGCAATGCAAAAATGGACTAACAGAAAATCGGTACTGAGAAGTGGGGCATCGCTATAAAGATACTTGAAAATGTGGAAGCAGCTTTGGAACTGGGTAACGGGCAGAGGTTGGAAGAGTTTGGAGGGCTCAGAAGAAGACAAGAAGATGAGGGAAAGTTTTAAACTTATTAGAGACTGGTTAAATGATTGTGACCAAAATGCTGATAGATTGTGTTGTCTTGACAATGAAAAAAATGCTGATAGAAATACGGACTGTGAAGGCCAAGCTGACGAAGTCTCAGATGGAAATTAGGAATTTACTGGGAGCTGGAGCAAAGGTCACCCTTGTTATGCTGTAGCAAAGAATGGCTGCATTGTGCCCATGTCTTAGAGATTTATGTAAGATTGAACTTAAGAGTGATGACTTAGAGTATCCATCAGAAGAAATTTCTAAGCAGCAAAGCATTCAAGAAGTGGCATATGGATAGATATGGGAGCAAATAAATGACTTAAAAGTTGGAATGTATATCTAAAAAGGAAGCAGAGCATAAAAACTTGGAAAATTTGGCTGGGCATGGTGGCTCACACCTGTAATCCCAGTACTTTAGGAGGCTGAGACAGGTGGATCACCTGAGGTCAGGAGTTTCAGACCAGCCTGGCCAACATGGCAAAACCCTGTCTCTACTAAAAATACAAAAATCAGCCAGGTACAGTGGCAGGCGCCTGTAACCCCAGCTACTCAGGAGGCTGAGGCAGGAGAATCGCTTGAACCCAGGAGGTGGAGGTTGCAGTGAGCCAAGATCACGCCATTGCACTCCAGCCTGGGCAACAGAGTGAGACTCTGTCTCAAAACAAACAAACAAACAAACAAAAAAGAAACTTGGAAAATTTGCAGCCTGGGCATGTGGTAGAGGAGGAAAGAGCATTTTCAACAGACTATAAGTGGGCTGTAGAGCACTGGCTTGCCAGAGAGATTAGCATGACTGAAAAGAAGCCAAGTGCCAGTAGCCAAGACATGGGGAAAATGCCTCAAGAGCATTTCAGGAATCTTCAGGAGAGTCCCTCCCATCACAAGCCCAGAGACCTAGGAGGAAACAATTGTTTCCTGGGCCAGGGCTAGGGCACCACTGCCTTGCACCACCCCAGGAGGCTGCTCCTCACATCCCCACTGCTCCAGCTCCAGCCTTGGTTCAAAGAGACCCAGACACTGCTCTTGCCACCATTCCAGAAGGTACAAGCCCTAGCCTTATTGGCTTCTACGTAGTGTTAAGCCTGTAGGTACACAAAATGCAAGAGTGAAGGAGGCTTGGCAGCTTACAGCCGGGTTTCAGAGGATGTATTGGAAAGCCTGGATGGACAAGCAGAAGCCTTCCACAAAGGTAGAACTCCCACAGAGAGACTCCACTAGGGCAGTGCCAAGGGGAAATACGGGGTTGGAGCCCCCGTGCAGAGTCCCCACTGGTACACTGCCTACTGGAGCTCTACAAATGGGGCCACTGCCCCCCAGCCCCAAGAGTGGTAGAGCTACCAGTAGCTTGCACCCTGAGCCTGAAAGCACTTAACTCCAACCTGTGAGAGCAACCAAGCCAAGGGTACAGAGCTGCCCAAGGCCTTGGGAGCCCACCCCTTGTACAAATGTGCCCTGGATGCAGGACATGGAGTCAAAGATTATTTTAGAGCTTTAAGGTTTAATGTCTGTCCTCCTGGGTTGGACAACCTCATGGATGGCTTGGTGCCATTCTTGCAATAATGAGTGAGTTCTTGCTCTATGAATTAATGCAAGATCTGATTGTTGAAAAGGGCTCGATACCTCCTCCTCTCTCCTTTGTGGCATGCTGGCTTCCCTTTACCTTCCACCATGAGGCCATCACCAGAAACAGGTGTGAGCACCATGCTTCATGTACAGACTACGAAACCATGAGCCAAACCTCTTTTCCTTATAAACTACCCAAGTTGCAGGTATTCCTTTGTAACAATGCAAAAACAGACTAATACAGTGTGCTTATAAGAAAAACACACTAGAGCTGTTTCTCTTAGCCACGTGAGGACATGAGATGATGCAATCTGCAAAGCAGGAAGGTGGCTCTCACCAGATTTCAGATCAGCTGGTGCCTTGATCTTGCAATTCCCAGTTCTCAGAACTATGAGCAATAAATATTTGTTGTTTAAGCCATCCAATCTACAGTATTTTGTTATGGCAGCATAAGCTGGCTAAGACAGGTTCTCTCTGCCCAGTTTGGATAGATCTTTATATATTATTTTGCCATATTTGCTTCATACACACACACACACACACACACACACACACACACAACACATATACACACACGATTATAGCTAAATGCAGTTGAAGCTCCCTGCGTAAATCTTCCTTCTTTCATCTCATTCTCTCCATAGAGCTCATGACTATCCTGAATTTGGAGGTTCACTTTCCCATGTCTGATATTGGTATAAATACACCTACTTTCTTAGGTTAGTCTTTGCATAACATATCTTTCTCCATCTTTGCGCTCTACTTTTTTGTATACTCATAATGAAGGTACCCTGCTGTACTCAGAAATACATGAGCCCACACATGTATCTCAAGCCCAAGGATTGGTAGCATACCCTTTACAATAAGCCCAAAACATATCCTGTGCTCAATGTGAGCCTCACCCCAACTTGGCACTGAGCACCATTCTGGTGGCTTAATCTCGCAAAATCCTATGAAAGAAATAGGAGAGAGATCCAAGATGGCTGATCACTAGCAGCTCGGGATTGTAGCTCCCAGTGAAAACACAGAGAATGAGAGGACGCCACACTTTCAGACGAATTTTTGTTGCTCACGCACCAGGAGATTTCCAGCGGAGGAGCCCCACGGGTCGCCAGCACGACTCTTGTGGCCGGCGAGGCGGTTTTGCCACTGCCTTGGTGCGGCAGTTCTTGGTGCAGACTCAGAAAAGCACCATCAATCATAACACCGCTGTTTTGGCCGGCGCAGTGGGTTGCTCAGATTTTAGTGCTGGGAAT